CACGTTGACAGCGACGTGTATTTCGGGCGGCTTTAAGGCGGCATATACTAAGGGGGGAAAGGGGGGAGCCCTAAATATTTCATTTTCCGCCACCCCATGCGAAGGAGCAGCTCCCGACATCAATCTTTGCATGCCGACCGAGATGCGATTAGAATATTTATATTCCTCGAGAGCCCACATGCAGACGAATGCGAATGGCCACCCAAAAAGGATTTCTGCCCGCGTTTGAAAGGAATAAATAAATGTGTTGTTTGGTTGTGGCTTGTTTGGGTTTGTTAACTCGACAGCATTATTCGATTCCAGGACACTTTAGGTTATGATACAACTCAAAAGTGGACTCGTTTGCTTTACTTTACATCTCTTTCGATGGATAGGGTTCCAAGGAAGTAACAACAAGCAACAGCAACATCGCCCAACAGCAACCTTAAGCGACTATTAAAGAAAACTCACATGTGCGGTTTGTCAAAGCTATGCATAGAATTATACTGCTTTTCCAAAAGGTGGCGGGGTTCTATTGTTGTCAGTTCTTGACTTTTAGGCTTAGTGATTGAAAGAAAACACATACATTAGCTTATCAAAGGATTTGTGATGTTGCTGCTATCGCTTACACGTTCGGACCGCAAAACCCATCCCGGCATTATCTAAAACAATCCATATAAAACTAATGTCTAGTTTTAATCAGAGGAGAATCTAGAATGTCGATTTGTAGGCTTGCCGCTCAAGCATTGCACTCTCGCATGGGACCACTTTGTGCAATTCACCAAGTTAGTGCAAAGGAGGCATCCAGCTTTTCCCTAAACAATGGCTGTCGACTGTGACTTTGGAGGGGCTGATTGAGGCTGACCAAAAGCGCTATACGTTTTTAGGGCACGACACAAAGTTGACACATGAATCTAGGAGAGACCCACAACAACAACAGGCAGAAACATTCCAGCAAGGGGCGCACAAAAACAAAACAAGAAACGAAACCATATAAAAATAAAAAAATCATTAAAAACTTTTGCAAATAGCGTACGTTCGCAAAATACTAAAATTGAAAAATGGAAAATATTTAGAAAAACTATCCAATGCGACAACGATGTCCGCCCAGAAAACAACCCTCCTTTAAACTTGAGCCCAAACAAGGGAATATCTCGCGCCGCATTGAATGCCAGCCGTACGATGCAAATCGCGTCGCCGTTCGATCCGCGTCACCCTCACCAGTCAATTTTGTTTTTACCCAGAGGTAATTAAAAAAGGGTTTTGCCCCGTTTTACCGCAACCTATGAGCCGCAATGCCGTACCGGTGGTTTCCCAACCTCAAACGGCGGCGCGACGGGGAGAGGCCGTACGCTTGTCTGCATGGTGGTTGCGCAGGGACCACGTGGAGTGGTCACAATTTTCGTACGAGAAGTGGCCAGGCCCAAGTATTTAACGTGCGTACCCACCATTTGCTAGGGTCTCTCCCTCTATTCTCATTTAGAGTGTGGTGCTAGATATGGCCAAACGGGGCGGCGCTCGACCGCTGATCTGGACGGATCGACGGCCCTGCTTCGCCCTCTCCGCTCGCTTCATCGGCATAGGAATCGTCGGGCCGGCGCCTGGCGCTCCGTGAGAAGGGAGGTGAGAATCTTTGCCTTGCTTCGGTGAATCGCCCCTCCTGGATCGCGATCCTGCATTTCTTGCCGAGAAATCGAGATACTTCGGGCTGGAATCGCGATATTTCGAGCGGAAGCATCGATTTCCCGAGCGCTGGATCGCGATCCTACATTTCTTGCCAAGAATCGCGATGTTTTTGAGCTGGACGCTGAGAAGTGCTGTTTTCCTTCCAGACGCCGGGGATGGTATGGAATCGGCAATCTGGAATCGTGCCGCCGCTTGATAGATGCCCTCTTTTCTCCCTCGATCTGATGCCGAGCAAGCAGAGAAAGGGGCCGAGATTGAAGAGTCGGCTGGAATAATCCTCTCTGCTGCGGCTGCTGTTCTTCCATGGTCGTGCATTATCGATTTGCGCAGAGGTATGGCATCTCTTCCTCGGTCGTCCTTTCATCCCCTTTTTTCGCTTCGAATTTATAGGGGGATAGGTAGCGTCACCGCAAAAGTAAAATTTTCATTTGTTTGCTTTCTTTCTTTCCAGATTGCTCGATCGATCGATCCCGAGCGGACGATTCTAGATTCATTCTTCGTTGATCTCGAGAACGAACAAAGGTACCTCCAGAAGGGAGAGGTAAAAAAAAAAAGAGATCAGGCAGGATAAAATGGATGGGCAGTGGGGATGGATAGGTGGAAGTGTATTCGCCACAGCCACTGGATGGTTTGGAAAGGAGCACTATGGCGATCAAGGCTACTGGTGCCACCACGATGTTGGTGTGCCGCAAATCGGTGCCTATGGTCTGGTCGAGCACGGGGGGATTGGATGGGGCAGCCCAGTACACATCGAAGAACAGGAGCAATGCTTTTGGGACAAGGACGGTAGCAACTGGGCTGTGATGCTGGCTCACGGCAGCGGCAAATGTGGGTGGAGCGAAGCCGCTGCTCCAGACAGAGTACCGGTGATGACCATGACTCACGCTTTTCCGAGCCTTCAGCTGGCCCCGGAATCGCGTAGTTTTGGCAGCAGCGGCTGGAAGAGCGATGGGATGACTGCTACTGCTGCTGCTTCGTCCGCGACTGCGACTTCGGCTACCGCTTCGCCGTCCTCGGACGACGAGTTTAGCTCCCTCCCGGACGATCTGCTCGAGAAGATCTTCGCGGCATTGCCTCTGCTGAGCCTGTTCCGAGCCCGGGCTGTTTGCAAGCGGTGGCATGGCATCACCACCTCCAAGTCCTTCATGGCGCTGTGCGCGCAAGTCACGACTCACAAGCCGTGGTATCTCATGTACAAGGACTCGGAGAAGATGGTCGGGGTGGCATTCGACCCGACGTCCCGGAAGTGGCACAACTTCGTCCTCCCGCCGCTCGACGACCCCTCGGCAAGCTTCGTGGCCTCGGCCGGCGGCCTGGCGTGCTTTCTCGACAAGACCAACTCGGAGGTGGCTTACGTTTGCAACCCGATGACCAAGGCCTGGCGGCAGCTCCCGCGGCCGCCGGAGAGGCTGAGCTCCGACTACTGCGCGGTGGCGATGTGCGTGCAAGGCGAGGACTACAAGATCGTGGTGGCCAGGTCCACGCCAGTGACGAACGACTACGCACAGTGGAGCTTGTCTATCGAGGTGTATGATTCCGGCCTAGCGGCGTGGAGGAGCCCGAGGTTCAAGCTCTTGCAAGGCTGGAGACCTGGGGAGGAGAGCAACATATGCAACGGGGTTTTCTACTGCGTCACGCACTCGACTGTTGGTGCCGGGCATGATTACTCGCGGCATGGACTGATTGCCTACGACATCAGTCACGGGGCGTTCCAGGACTTGATACTCCCGATGCCGTGCTCTCTTTCGTGCGTCCGGTTGGTGAACTGCTGGGAGAGGCTGGTGATGGTTGGCGGCATTGGGACGTATGACTTCATCAAGGGGGTCGGGGTGTGGGAGCTCCAGGGGGAGTGGAAGCAGATTAGCAGGATGCCGACCAAGCAGTTCCATGGATTTGCGGGTGGCCTGGACGACGTTTTCTCGTGTAGCGGCCACGGTGACTTGATCTACATTCACAGCTACGGCAGCCCCCAGCTCATGGTTTTCGATATCCCGCAAGGATCGTGGACGTGGGCGAGAGCCTGTCCGGTGCTCAAGCGTGACCCGTTGCATCTCTTCACGGGATTCTGCTTCCAACCCCGGCTGGACGTCTCGGTTTGAGAGGTGAGAGACGAGAAAGTACTGCTGCTTTGGTTTGATAGTTTTGCGAATTTTCAGGTGGTGGCGGCTGGGAAAGCACGAGATTTTTACTACGAAGTACGTACCTTTATAGGAGAATTGGAGATTTATTATATGGAGTGGTGGTTGTGGGGGATCGGGATCGAAAGGACTGGTCTCTCTTCCGCTCGCATCGCTCGTATGCTTAGAAGAACCCGAGAAGGAAGAACGGACGAGAGGATTAGAGCAACCAACGCACGGATCTCTCCCTCTAATGTTGACGGGTATGTTTTTTCTACTTTTATTTTTTAGCTCGGATCCTCTTGTCCTGCGGCTCTTGTTGTTAAGATTGATTGGTTTTTTCTTGTTGTTCGTCCGTAAGTTATCGCTTAAGTTTAAAGTCCTTGCTCTTGCCTCGATTCGATTTCTCTCCGCCTCGTCCGTCGCATTGTCCTCGTTGGTTTCTGGTTGTTTGTTTGCTGTGCATGCATTTCGCAACAGTCGGACAGGACAGGCTACGTTTTGATTGCAGCAACGAAACTGAAAGTCTAGATAGATATTATAGATCGAGTGAGTCGATAGTCGAGTGACGAGTCGAGAGAGAAAAAGGAGAGAGAGAGATTGATAGATTGGGAGGAGATGGATAGAATAATTACTCATGGCCGTTTCTCTCTGTGTGTAGTGGAGGCTTTCATATATATTTTTTTTCTTGTTCTTCCTCTTTGTCGCTAGTTATGAGTGTTGGTTTGTTCGTCATTAGCTTTCTCGTAGTCGCGACGCACACATACAGTGTGTCTGTCTGAGAGGCCAAATTGATGGCGCCAATGAATGATGGATGGATGGAAGGATTTCTTTTTTTTCTTTCCTCTGCTACTTTGCTGGAAAAGTTTGTTTGTTTATTTATTTTCTCAGCCTGGAGCTTTTGATTTCCTGTTTTGATCTCGCTCGCTGGCTGGCTTTGCTCACCTTTCGTGCGTAGCTCCAGATTATGATGTCTCGAAGAAGCGAAAGTTTCTCCTCTTTTTTCTCTCCTCCCGTTTCTTTCTCTCCCTCCTCTCGTCTCGTCGTGCCAGGCTCTCGGACAAAGGTGGTGTTGATTCCTATGTCACGCAGCCAGCCAGCGAGCCAGGAGCAAACATCCATCCTCCCATCTCTATACAACTTTCGCCCCATCTCGAGAAAAAAGGCGGGGCGAGCGAGCGAGCGTGGAACTTTGTCTAGATTATCTTAAAAAGTAGATCGCAAAAAGAAATCGCCTATTCATCAACCAAACTTTAGACATGAACTTACACAATGATTCTGCATTATTGAGTGTGTTCGAATTATTATAGCCATCCGAGACAAGGAAATAAAAACAACGGCAACCAAGCAACGGACTCCAATACAAGCGGAACGAAACAACAACACATCCAGATGCAGCAGCAGCAGCAGCAGCAGCAGCAGCAGCGGCAGCAGCAACAAAACAGAGCAAACAACCAAAAAGAATGAAAAAAGGAAAGCGATGAAAAGATACAAACTATAAACCTGTGATCCATATGAAGGAAAGCTGAAGTTGGCAGACAGTTTTGTACATGCATACGTAATCGATCACTAGGATACGTACGTTTGGACCGAACTTAAGTAGAAAAGATGAGGGTCAAGCAAAACGTCTACAAGAGATTACGAAACCATGAAACGTGAAGCTCCTGTTTTTTTGTTTTTTCTTCCCGGGTGAAATCTCCAACAGACAAAGCCAATAACAATCCATCATGAAACATGATCTCACAACAACACAATAATTCCGACCGCAAGCATTACACTGCCCCTGCGATGCGCGAATTATTGAAACTAAACAACAAGAGCGCAGTGGACTCAAGCCAGGAAGAGACAAGCCAAAAGGAAAGAACACAAATTCTGGCCAGATGCAACAGCAAACAAAGGAATGAAAAAAACAGTGAAAAGAAAAGAATGGGACTTAATACTTATCTGGAGCATGCTACGGCCGCGAAGATTATAACACTCAGCATTTTTAATCGCGCTACCCGTCCTTCCTTGCATTGCTGCTGCCTGTCCACGAGAAAAGGAGCTGAGAAGGAAAGGCCAGAGAGGAACTAGAGAACGATACCTTGCTTTTTATATTACTGCCTCGCCCGGCATGCAAGCTCGTGGCAGTACCACGCCGACTGGAGAGTAAAAGACTGCCGTGTGCGAAAAAAGAAAACGTATCTCCGTTGCTACAGTGAATATTTCCCTTACAGAGGAGTTAAGAGAACTGGACAGTGAAGAAATACAGCTTCATCAGAAGTCCCAAGCCAAGCTGCAAAACGAAGCAACCGCAAACGATCAGAAACCATCTCTCGCTTGCCGTTTTTATGTGCGTGCGGAGGTTCAAGGCCAGGAAGGTCGCCGAAAGTCCAGCCGCGGCTGCTACCACGGCCCACTTGAATTTCTCTACGGGAACGACCGACAAGAACTGGAGAAGTTTGAGCACTGATTAGCAAAAGCAGGGAATGAACTGTATGTACGTTACCGAGGTAGGAATGAAAATGAAAAGCGAGTAGCCGTATAGACACCACAGCTGGACGAGCCCCGTTGCAACTCCCAGGTACTTGAGCACGAAATACAAGCCGAGCGGGAGAAGTCCAACGTAGCCATAGAAGAGTCCCGCGGACCAGCTGACTTTGTTTATGTCGTAGTGCCAGTGCGTGTCACCAGCCGAGCTTGTCTTGTGAGCCAGGTAGGCTGCAAAGTTCCCCAGAGCTGCCGTGACAAAGATCAAAGTCGTGCAGATCCAAAACGGCCCGTACCTGCAATACAGAGCTAGAATCCAAAACCGGAAGAAACCAAAAAACTCTCACTCACATATCAGGATTTGTGGCCGTCTTCTCGACGAAATCTCCCTTGAAAGGAACCAAGCTATCCCCCACTCTTTGGACGACGTCCGAGGTGTCCACGTTGAAGTATGGTCTGTAAGAGAGGAGATTGAAGTAGCCATGCCAGCCGAATTGCTCTGGCTCTGCTGGACGCGAGAAGGTATCTGGAATTACAAAAAAGAGAGAGAAAAGAACAAGCTCAGACCACGCAAGGACGAAGCAAAGAAAGAAGAAAAAAAATGTCTGAGCTTCTCTAAATTCTTTAGTTCATACCATCGGCGTCACGAGGCGGTTTGGACGAACCTGTCAGCTTCCCTCGCGCATCTGTAGGTGGAAAAGTCTGTAAATTCGAGTCTGCAAGCCAAGTGTGAGCTCGAAATCGAGAAATCTCACGCGCGGCGGAGCGGACCAACCTTGGAATTGCAGAGCTACGTGATCTGCTCCAGCGGCTGCCTGGGACATCGAAATGCGGAAATGCGCATCAAATTCTGGATCACAAAACCCTACCAAAGAACCAGATCTAGAGCGACTGCTGGATCGGAATCTTACCGGCACGGAGCCCGAGACATCGCCTCCAATGGTGCTGTATCCCGACATCGCGTCGTCGATCCGGCGCCTCGCCTTCTCCCTCGCGCGCGCTAACCTAAATGTGGATACCCTAAAACCAGAGCCCTATAAGTATTTTAGGGTTATTTAGCGCTATAAGTTTATATGATAGGGTTCCTGAGAGCTCGCGAAATGGGCTTTCTGGCTGTGGCGCCAGAGCTCACCCTCTCCAGCAGGAATGGCGAGGTTTCTATGCAGACACTGGTCGGGGCTGTCAAGCTGAGCGCGGAGCGGCACTATGTGATGAAGACGCTGGTGCTCACGCTTTCGCACAAGGTTTGAGCTTTGTGGATTGCTGATAAGAGCTAGAGAGTGCTTCTTGTTGTGTCACAGGTTCCGTCGCTTCTCAAAGACCTGCGCGCTTGCATCCAGCATGACAAGATCGCGGGGAGCTTGTCCGAGCACGAGTGGATGGATCCGTGCCTCGACTTCGTGGTCGCCACCCCGGACGAGGCTTGGGCCTTCTGGCCATCCAGCGGCACGTTTATTATTCTCATCGATGCCATAGCTTACCAGGACGATCCTGGTTTCCAAAGCGGCGCGCTGCAGCTGGCTCACACTCGCTTCGAGACCGTGAGCCTTCCAACACCGGAGTTCAACTTCCGCCAGGACGAATGGTTCGCTCCCGCTCCACGGGCTCGTGCCAGCGACACTTTCCAGCGTCTCGTGGCTTCTGCTTTGCCTGGTGAGCGCTCCTTCCAATGCTTTCTCTCGCTCGTCTGATCTTGCTGGTTGCAGAGGCCTGGTCTTGCCCCGGACGGCTGGATGGGGTCGCCACCCAGGTCATGCGCATGTTTGCTGATCACGACAACGTTGTGTGCCAGGGCTGGTCAGGCGTGCTCGCCTTGCTGCCCTGCCTTGTTCGGGATGCCGTGAAGCACGCAAGCAACGAGGCAGCGCCACTGCTGCTGGCTCCTGACCATCACAGGCTGCTCGCGCTTACTCAGCTTCTCGGGTGTTGTGCGCAGGAGATGGGTGTCTCTGTGAAGGTACTCACTCTCTTTTCTTTCTCACGTTGCTGTTACTACGATGATCTCTTGTATGAATTACAGATCGGGCCAGGAGCGCATTCCGCTCTTCGCGTGGAGAAAGTGGGAGATGTGGAGCCTCCAGTCTCTGCTTCTCGAGTAGTGGTTGTTGAAGCCGACAGCATCCTTGAGGCACACCCCGAATGGGCCGAGGTATTCTTCCAAGAACTTGTTGCATGGTGAAATAAACTTGTGCTGTGCAGTTCATTGCCTCATTTGGCGGCTGTGTCGGACTGCACGTCACACACATGACTGGCGCTGTCGAGGGGGTGCACAAGCGCTTTGCACGCAAGGCCTTTGTGCCGAGGCCCCCACGAGTGACGCTGGACGTTTGCCACTTCTACGCTCTGGCGGAAGGCAAGAAGAAGCTCGACTTGGTGTGCGACCTGTGGGAGCAGCTGCGGAGGGGTAAACCAAACAAGTTCTCTGTCTTCTGCAACGCGGCCGAGACGGTGGCCGAGGTTGCCAAGGCGATGGTGGAGCGCGGGCACCTCGCCTATGCGATATACACAGCCGGGGATCCCATCCTCCAGGTAAAGTCATGAGTCGATAGCACAAACTTTGATATCATCTCTGGCTTGGTTCCAGGAGGTTTACAAGCGCTCGCTGTCGATCGTGGTGACCAACGTGTACGTTCGGGGCAGGCAGGACGTGATCAACTACGATCTTCCGGCCTCGGACGAGGACTACTTGGAGCGGGTCGGGATTGATCGGAACCATGGCAGGCGATTCAGGCTGGTGATCAATCTCGCCACCCGTGAGGAGCTCCAGCAGGCATTGCCTGCTTCGTTCCAGAGCATGGTGCCACTGCCTCCCATTCGCCGTGATCTCTGCAAGAACATTGTCATCCAGCGTGTGAGGATGCAGCAGCAAGCCAAGGCTGCTGGGTGCTAATCGCAAAAACGAGCTTCTTTCCTTCTTGTTTTGCTTAAGCTTGTATAGAACTTCTACCTTCGAATTTGGCCTCTATTTTGTGGTCAGAGCTTAGAATCGGTATACACTGATAGTATCCTAGAATTTAAAATTTAAGCAAATCAAGGTAGCGATATCCAAATCGGTCTATAAGCTGTCAAAAGTGAAGAATATACTAAGAATAATTAATCACCTTTCACAAAATAGGATCCACGTGGACGGATAAAGCGAATACGTGGAGCTCCACCTCACTTCACTAGGCGCACCTTTTCATAGCCGAGGAGAGTTTGCCGCTCGCGAGTGAAGGAAGAGGAAAAAAGAGTTCCACCATTTCTGGAAGAGATGGTGAGAGCACGAAGAAGCAAGCCTCCGGCGATGCGAAGGAGGCGAAAGAGATCGAAACAAAAGGTCTCCATAGCATCACATTTTCACGCAAAAGCAAAGAACTTCCATTCATTCGCCTGAGGAAAAAGAAAACAAAGAGAGAAAGGATGAAGTTTACAGAAACTTTGCTCTACAGAGACCAGGAAGAAGAAAGCACCGACGAAGGTATCGACGCGGAAGGAAATCAAACCAAACCGAGGCTCAAGACAACACGAACCTGGAGAACTTGGCAGCGTCGTCTCCGCCGAGATCACCCAGCAACGCTGCGTCGGTGCAGTTGCCAGTAGCAGCGAACCATCCGAGCAGCACGGAGCTTCACCACCACCGAGAAATGCGTGATGAACGCGACGACCGCGATGAAGATGAGGAGCTCCATCACCACCAGCATCAGCTAAAGCAGCGAGACCAAGGCAGCGAGGGACACGGTCCGGAGACCAAGGAGCACAACATCAGCGCGATCAACAACGACCAGCAACAGCTGCACGGATGAAACAAAGAACCAATCACATCGAGCAACAAAAGATTAAAAAATAGCTTTCCACAGACCTTGAGCTCGTGCCTGTTTCTGCTCGGTTCAGTTTTCCAGTAGCATTGCCTGTACATAAGTAAGCTTGTTCTTCGCGATCGAAGAACTATAATATGCACAGCAATTATCTCGAGAAAGGAAAGCTGCGTTTCAGCTGCACGGATGAAACAAAGCACCATCAGATCGAGAACAAAAATAAAGAGAATCTATCTTAGACCTTAAGTTCGTGCCTGTTGCTGCTCGGTTCAGTTTTCCAGTAGCATTGCCTGCACATAAGTAAGCTTGATCTTCGCGATCGAAGAACTACACAACAATCTTTCACTAGCCAGGATGAGAGAACAAAAAAGAGCTGCTTTTAAGTGAAAAAAAAAAAGCTGTGCTGTTCCCAGTTCAGGCAAACACCACCTACAAATAAGCTGCCGCATAGGAAAAGAAACTGCGGAATTCACACTACCATAATCAAAGTGTACTAACCTTTACATTCCAAAATCATCATATAAACCACCCGAACTTCGACCGTGTACCTTCGCTTGGGAATAACTTAGCTTGATGTTAGAGAAAAGAAAAGGCACGGCTGATTCGTTGAAAAGCTCCAACACCCTGCGAGATCATTTGGGAGTAAGAACCACGATTTTAAAAAGCATGAGCTGAATCACTAACCACTTTCGTGGATCACAGGATGCGATCGGCGTACGACGGGAGCCTCCGGAAGAAGTTCATAGGTACCGGAGGCACGCGGTTGCGGAATCGAGGATGTCGAAGAGCGTAAATCCCCAGCAGCACCGCCACGACTCGGAGTGGGATCACGTACAGCAGAATAGCAGCGACGAGGCAGAAGGTGATGAAGATAGCCGTCGCACGAGGGTCTCTCCAGCTGAGGAGCGCGTTCAGTCGCTCTCCCTGCGACGCTAAGTCCCCAAGAACCGACTGGATCCTGCTAGCTACCATCCGGAGGCGTTCGTAGCGGTGCTTGACGATGTCAGGACTCTTGGACGTCGGGAAAGTGTCAAACTCTTCGTCGAGCTCGTCGTGCTCCACATGCTCGGCCTGAGAGAGCCTGGCATCCATGTAAGGTGGAGCACGCGGACGGAAGCGGTAGTGCCAGGCTCCAATGAGGAACATGTAGAGGAAAAGCGTTGGCAGGATCAGCTCCGGGTACCAGACCAGGATCAGGAACAGTATGTGAACGAGTACGGTTGTCAGCGGATTTTTCCACTGGCAGATGTCGGAGAACCACTTGGTCACGGCGATCGCACCGGATAAAACTCCAAGCATTCTGTAGTAGTTCACCTTGCTCCTCCTCATGCTCCACATGTTGGAGTCCGTATCCAGCATGTAGTGCACCACCTCCTGGCGAAGAGGAGGCTCCGATCGAGCGAGTCTCAACGAGACGATCCGGATAGCAATGTTCCTCAGCTGTTCCAGCTCGATCACTCCAAGCGGATGCAGGTAGTGCATCTTGGGAAGTGGTGGCGTGAAGTAGATGTGCATCATGTTGAGGACGGAGGTGCAAGAGAACCGCACCGCGAGCTCCAGCTCGCCAGTCTTCTTCACTCCACTTCTCTGGAGGACGAGAAGTGGATACGAGTTTGTGTAGACACGGTCGCTCTCGAGTGTGGACACGCGGATTCTGACTTTTCCAATCGGGTTATCTCTGCCACTGCTAACTTTCTCGCCAGGCTCGTCCTTGGTGTGGCAATTGTCGAACACCCCGATCGTCAGGACTGTGCAGGGATCGTGGACTTCCCAAGTATACTGCTCGTGCCAACGAGGACTGAAGGAGTCCATGCACGTCCTCGTCCTCACCCATTTCTGGCCGTACTTTGCAACGCAGTAAGCATCGGTGGTGCTCCTCCCGTCTCGGCTTTTCATTGGAACCAGGTTCTTCGCGCTCAGGATTCCAATCTCCAGGACGCCCATGCTGGCCTTCCAGAGCTGCTTCGCAGTGGGACGAGTGTCGCTGATATGGTGAGTGGACTCGTCCATGACGTGATATCCTCCATCGAAGCAAACCCGCAAATGCAGGCGTCCGCGAAACGGTTTCTCTCCATTCTTTTCAAGGTTGAACCAGCGGGTGTTCACGAGCCTGTGGTCGATTCGGCGGTCAACTTCCTTCAGCGGTATCTTCACCACGCCGAGAACTTCTTCCTTGTTCCCGCCAACTCTGTCCTCGACGGTCAAAACCAGGTGCTCCTCGAACGGCTCGGCTGCTACGAACACCATGTCCTGATTCCAAAACGGACTGTTGGTTCTGTTTGCCGATACTTTCGTCTTGTACACCTGAGTCCCTCCGAGTTGGACTCTCACGCTGACTTCAGGCAGACGATTCTTCTCCGACGGTATCAGGTCCTGTGCTTCGATCACGTTTACGCGTAAATACCACAGCTTTGGCGACATGTACACTTTCGCCTTGTTGTGGTAGTGACCGCCAGAGTCGGATTGCCAAGCCTCAGAGAACGCTTCATCTGCCTGAGTACCCCACCAGACAGCCAGCATTATCTCACCCCTCACGTGCACGTCACCCTTCCTTCCTGGCTCGAGCTTATACCACTGAGGCGCGAGAGGACTCTCCGGCGGCACACGCTTGGATATCTCGGTCAGGTCGAACTGCACGAATCCTAGAAAGTCGTCCTTGCTCACTTTGTCAGCGTCCCAAACCGTGATCTCCACTGTCGGCCCCTGGATTTTGTCCTTGCCGAATGCAAAGACTTGGTTCCACACCGGGTTGACGCTCCTCTTCCGGATCTCTGTCTTCGCCGGGTAGCCTTCGCCAACCTTCACCTTGACGTATGGATCACTGCTGCCGCCGAGGTCTTTGGCAACCAGGTCTCTGGCCTTCACCACGCGGACGTAAAGGTACTGCATCTTCTCCACCAGGTCGTGCGAGATGTGCTTCTCACCGACATGTCCGAGCACCGGGGACGTGTCCTTGAGAGCGAAGTCCCCAGGCGGCAGCATTGTTGTCGGAGCAACCATCTTTTTTCCCTGCCCGTGATCGTCCTTGATCTTTTCTTCCTTCTTCAGAATAATTCCGTGGTCGTGATCCTTGAGCTTCTCGTGGTGATGGTCCTTCACCTTCTCGTGGTCCTTCACATGAGCCTTCATCGACATCCCGGAAGACTCGTCCACGTAGTAGACCTTGATCCGCAACTCTCCCTTCACAGTCGACCACAAGTTCTTCTTCTCCAGCGGATGATGAGTGATCGCCTCTTCGCCGTGCTTCACGAAGCTGCTACCTGGGATTCGAACCTTGCCGAGGAAGCCATCCTTTCCAGAGCTAGCATTCTTCTTCTCCGTATGGACCCAGATATCCAAGCTGTCCATTCCCATGTTGATAGGATCCGAGACCGGGAATTCAAACTTCTCATTCCAGACGGGATTGAGGTCCTTGACCTTCACCTTCGTCTTCCTCCTCTGTCCATCGAAGTCGATGATGCAGTACGGATTTGCCGAGCCTTGTCCATCCTTGGGCATCAAATTGTGGGCGCTGAGAATCTCTACGTAAAGCTTTCTCCCCATCTGAGCTACGCTATCTGATGATCAGCTCTAACCTGCGAGCACTAAGAAAAAATCAGTCCCGACCGTAGCATAGCTACATTCGATTCACGCTTACCTGAAGAACGAGCAGAGCCCTTGGAAATGAAATAGAGACGCGTGGTTACATAGAGATACACCAGCTGCGACGAAGGAACAAGAGTTAGCGATGCCGCGCAAAAAACGAAAAACATAACAATCGTTCGCTCCTACTTCTGGGCAAGCGCACGTCACACGAGCACACCAACAGGAAGAAAAGAAAGGAAAAAAACAAAGCGCTGCGCTGATTATTTCCTCACAGACACGGGGAGAACAGTACACTGACAGACAAGCTACAACGGCGTTTGGAAACCCTCGTCAATCTCACGGGCGCATCGAAATTTCGGCGATAGACCGGATCAAGCAGGGCATTTTCTGACCAGGAAACACGGACATCGACCCCTCACATCGCTGGCGTCGACCAGAGATTTCTTCATACCTGGCGCTCGCGCTGGAAGAATGAGGCGGCGGCGGCTCGCGCTTGCACAGCGCCACGGCCCGATCGATTCTAGCGCCTCGGTACCGCGAGTAGCGAATCCCTAGAAGCCGCAGAGCTCCGGAGCAATGCAGGGGGATTCCTTGCTTCGCGAAACCTACAAACAAAACGCGAAGAACACCTCGAGCAAAAGGGACGGGGTCCCAGGAAGAGGGGGGAGATTTTACTTTTACCCCTTACGCAGAGCAAGGGTAAAAAGGGACGGACGCCGGCCGGCCGGTGACTAGACGGTAAATACCGCGTGATTTGACAGGAGGTGGATTTCAAGAATCTCAAATTTTTACCGTTAATGTGCCCCCGTCCCCCACTGGTAAATTTTGAAAATTCTCCTCGGGCCACATAATTACCACAAGCTGGCTATTTTACGTACGCCACAAACTAAAATCCCGCTAGATTTGCCGCAATAATTCATTCTTACCACTCTGTAAGAACCCGCACCAGTTACGGTGGTAAATCTAGCGGTGAAACATTGGGCGAAAACATCCGAGACGTTGATTTGGTGGCTATTCCCGCATCCAAGAAGCGGTGGTTTATACTGGCCATTCCGGCGTAGAATGCCGGGGGGCTGACACAATGCCGCGTGTCACAAACTTAAAAAATTAAATAATTCTAGGGCTAGTGAATCGGACAAACACAACATTAGACCCCATGTATGACCTGTCCCTAAAGCTTTGCGCTAGGCGCAAAAAATCGTATACTTGTCTCACTTCCATGGAGGATGATTTTTTAACTTTTTAACTTGGTCCCACGTAACGGGCACATTCTGCCGTACCCCCTAAAGATACCAGTACGGAATTAGACAATGGTTTTGTTTAATCGAGAAATAGTTTTCTCTCTTAAAGAGCTTGGACCCCACTGCGAGCGAGCGAGGAGGCGGCAGCCTTTCACTAGCGCAAGTCAAATCCCTTTCGTGGATTCTTTCGCGATGTGGCAACAGCAACGAGTTTCTCTCGATCGAAATCCTATCCTCCTCTTTTGTTTTGTAGCTCAAAGCCCAGTGATGGATCAAACTAGCGGGAGAATAGCTTTTGTCGGCACGGAACTTTGATCCACAGTGAACAACACACACTGTGGCAGAACTTGGAGAAGACGAGAGCGAAAACCTTTCACGCTGGTCCTGCTCGAAGTGGGAAAGCTTTAAAAACACAAGACGAACAAACAAAAGAGACATGAACGAACCGACAATGGCGATAGCTTGTTTGGAACCGCCTCTTTGACGCTTTACGACTCGATCTGGGAGTTAAAAGCAAGAGACAAACTTGAGGTGCGAGCAAGCAGAGAAAAAAAAACACTACCTTTTCTGAGCAATGAGTCAGATAGTCGGTGGTGGCGAACAAAACTCAAGTTTCTTCCAATCGCCACGAGTTTCACACTACGGAAACATTGATCCTGACAAAATGCTGCAACAATGACGTTCCCAAAGACGAAAAATCATCTTTTTAAGCCCAGGGATTTCCAGACATACCGTTCGAAACTTTAGAAGGCAGTAGCATGGCCACCACGATGAACTCCAGTGATAAAATGATAAACTTGTTTCCTCTTAAAGGCCATAATAGAAAAGCTTCACTTCTCGTGTCAGTGCTATCTCTCCGGCCTTCTTTCCGGCTTGAGAAAACACAAGTCCTGCGAGCTGCAAAGTTCCAGGCTCCAGAGGCCAGAAAAGAATAAGCAAAACTTGTAACAATGAGAGATATGAGAAACTATTACCGGTCAAAATCAGCGTGCCGAGACAAACGAAGACAAGCTAAACGTCCATCCATCCATCCAGATTGCCGGAAAAACGAGTAAGATAACTTCACAGTATCTGTTCCACTTCTGTCCAGTAAACAGCAATAGACAAATCGAGTTAAGAACACGGATTCGCTGAAACGAGAGAAGAAAGTAAAAAACAAAACAAAAACAAGACCTCTGTTGTGTCAGCGACAAGGTCGATGTCTGTGCGAAGAAAAGATTCGTCCGCTGCAATTGAGTCACCGGGAATTGGTTAGACAATTCCAAAAGCTTTTAAACTTATCTTCCAGAGATGTCGCTCTCCGCATATGAGTGATGGAATCACTCTGAGCATTCAGAACTAAAAAGCTGAAACCCGGACTTTCCACAAGAACAAAGAACGAGTTCCCAGTGCAAAAAAAATAATCTTACTTTTCTTTGGTGCTTTTTCCAGCTAGTCCTGCTTTGCTTCCAGTTTCTCACCGGAAGAGACTTTAGCTTTGAAAGCAATGTCCAAGTTAAAGGTAGCGATGGAGCACAGAACGGCGAGCGAAAACATTGGTAGAAGATGAATGCTCGGGTCCGTCTTTCCTGCCGTGTAAACATACCAGAGAACTACGAGCGTACCTGCGGGGCTCAAGAAAGTGATCCCGAAAGCACTGAGGAATGCTCCGAGAAGGCAAGAAAAACAGCCAGCGACGAAGACGAGCCCCAGAGGATCGCTGCTCTGTTTTGGTTTGCGTTTGAAGTCCCGGAGAAGATTTTTCCAGTCCGGGAGTGAGAAGCCATCGTTAGAATCTCCGAGGACAACTTCGGCCTTGACGAGGAACGCGCTTGGATAGAGGAGAGCTTTCACGGCTATGTCGCTGGCGAGCTTCTTGGAGTAAAGAAAATCCGCTACCACTTCCACGGGGCTGGAGCATGAGCCTTTGGAGCATGGAACACTGAAAACGTTGCAGCAGTTTAGCGAAAACTATAGGGAAAACGAGGAAAATCTAAACGCATCTATCAGCCAGACATGGCGGAGATTTCTAGTGCTTAACAACGCGCAATATAAACGGAGAAAATGCACTGCAAAGTTATGATCCGGACAAAATCTCTAAACAGCTGACGATTCTACAAAGGCGAGGTTAAAAAACATCCAGCAGAAGACCAACAGTCATACAGATTAAATCTCGGCAACTGCCAAACAAGGAGAGCGAAAATTCACTAGATCTCTCACTCACGGTCATGGTAAACGAAAAACAAAATTTTGGGCAGCAAGAATGGAAGCAAAATCTCGCACGAAACTTGGCTTATCTTTTGACAATGCTTACTTGAAGAGCTGCAAGCCAAAGACGATGATGAGGAAGAAGAAGTTTGCTGCTCTAAACCTCCATCCTTCAAGCGCCATGACCTTAGGTCTTCTTTCTACTGCTAAAACCCCAACTTTGATAGGACGCGCCGTGCACACTTGACTGGGCCAGCGGTCACAATCTTCCGTACAATAAATTGTTCTTCCTCCAGGCTTTTAGAAACAAATATAAAAGGTTAAAGTAAAAGAAAATCCAATTTACTAGCAATTAACAAAAGATATCTGAAAAAAATGGCAAAATTTAATATATTGATCAATAAGCATTGTGACTCAAAACTTATTAAACCTACAATCTTATATTATCCCATGAAAAAAAAGGGATGTCATCAAAGGAAACAATATAATTTAAAAACTTAACCAAACCTTTATGAAAATAATATTTTTCCAACATTACAAAAAATTCATGGTGTTGAAAGTGTTTGGAGAAAGTGAACATAATGGTTGTGCTTTTTTGAATTTTAAAGAAGATAAAATTGTTATCAAAATAAATGATAATAAATAAATCAAGAAACTACTTTAAACATCATTTGCTATATATAACAGGGGTGTATCTCCGTGTACTCAAAATAACAATAATAAATATGAAAATTCTTTTCCATTCATCACCCTCCCAATATGAGTGAAGTATAATCACCATAAATTATCTTAGTAAAAAATTAGACTTTAGGCTTTAATATCTCAAAGATTAATATAAGTGGGTATTAATTAGGAATGGTGACTTTGTTTAGGTTGTAATAGTCAACTATGAAGAAGCCTATCCTTTTTGGATACAAAGAAGAAAGAAGATATGTGTACTAATTAAAGACTAAAAATGCCCAACCAAAACCTTTTGAAAATTTATTTTCAATATGTCTAGTGATTTCCCTTTCACAAGATCAAGGGAATAATCATAATGTCAATATATTGGCAAGATGTCAACTCTCTTTTTATTGAAAACATCCTCGAAGTAAACATATTTGGAGGGAGAGTTAGAACTCATATAAAGAAATATGAGAAATTTAGATTGGAATAAAAAAAAAATTGGAAAAAAGAGAGAATTATCCAATTAATATCATGCCACTTCCAAACATTATTAACTTCACCACATCAAACCAAGGAAAACTAAAAATAATGAATACCTTTGGGATGAAAATAACATCAAAGGAGATGCAATCTTAAATATTGTTACTTCTACCAACTCTATAATGAATTTGAAAGAGATTTATTGACTGTCCACCACATCAGCATATTTATTTTTGCCATTATTGTTGATGATAGGATTTGAACCTCAAACCTCTGCTTATGAAATTTAAACTCAAGACATATCATGCACATCCACATATAAAAACATATAAAAGCATAGTTTTTTACTCTAATTACCTTGATATTAATTTTGAACAACCCTATAAAAGCATGATCTTTTACTTAAAGTGTTATTTGAACACTTTGATATTCATGGCTTCCCTAGATCTTCTTCTTCAGCTCCAATGAAATCTTGATGTTCTATAGAAGTCATATTAAATGTTAGAGCAATCCAACACAAATCTTTATTTAAAGCTCTAATGGATTGTTCCAACTCCTTTTCTAACTATTTCATATGTGGTGGATAATTAATTGATACTTGTACTATAGTCAAACAATGAATTCCCTAGTTAAAACTAAGTCATATACTCCCTTTTTTTTTCCACTCTAAAGCAATCCTTACTCTTGATCCACTAAAACCATGATCATATGTAAACAAATCAAAAGCAAACTTTACTTCTAATGAGTAAACTTTACTCCTTAGTTTAGGCTAGAGTGATCTTGAAGTTATCCATTCAAATACTACTAGACTTTTATTAGTTTTTATAATTTCTATTTTGGTTTAATATTTGATTATTTTATTTGACACCATATATAACATTCTCAATTTTTTAAGGATTGAAGTTTGCTTTATCAAAGTGAGTGAATACATAATACAAGATGAAAATGGCAATTTCTTGGTAGGAAAACCCTTTAAGGCTATTTTTATTTTTATTTATCCTTAAAATTTTAAAGATCTATGGTGATAGTATATTTAATTTTAATTTTATAATATTACATTAATAAAAAAATTATCCTTTTTTCCAAGTCTTTTTTTTGTTTATTCAATCTAAATTTTCATATCTCTTTGATTGAGTTCCGAGGTTTTAATGCACCTGAATTTAAAGTTAAATTCCAAGCCTATTACACTACAAATAAAGGTTTAGTATACACTCAAAATCCTTTATAAACATTAATTCCTTATATCTATTTTTTTTTTAAATACTGTCAGATGGTGTTTAATACAATTTTGGCATAACATGAAGAGGTGGTTACCGAATAGCATGGAATTTAATTTGAATATTTATATAAACTAATGTTTTATAGTCATGCTTCTAACCACTATCCTTACTATACATTTGGAATCCTTATGTTATTTTTCACTCTCAAAACTACATTTATACAAAGATTAATTATGATATTTCTAATAAGAAACTCTCTGCAATTATGGATTCTGTTAATATTTAATGTCATTTTCTTGAAAGTCCTCCCCACTTGCTGTTTACAATGATTATAATAAATTTCAATATTTCTTTTTAGCACACATCCTCAAGTAGTTTTAAACTCAGTTATAACACTATCTTATTTATTTTGGATTTCCTCCACTAACATTGGATTAAATATATTATTTATATTAATTTAATAATAATTTATTGCATGTTGCATGAAGCAACACTTTGTTTGTAGTATCATCTTTATTTATTAATCCAATTGTTTAAATGGAAGTTTATAATTCTAAACATGTTTATAATTTACAAACATAAAATTAATCTTATTACACACACCATTAGAATAGAAAACATTATACTAAAAAGTGAATTTTATAAATTATAAACATATTTATATATAAATGCAAGATTAATCTAAATAAATAACAACCATTAGATGGTTGAATATCTTAGAATATCAAATATTCTAAGTATATTCACTATCCCATGGATCCTTTTTTTAGGAGGCCAATTATTAAATTAGAAGCCCACCTATAGCTTCACCTAAAAAATTAAAACATTTATGATAATTTCATTTAAATTTTTAAAGATTCTAGATGGTTCATAAAGTCTTAGTTATTGTTAAACCTATATTGTTGTTGAATTTGAGTAGTATTTAAAGAAACTTTTATTTTGATGAGAAACAAATTAGTAACTATGAAGCATATAATGTTTTTTGTTGTTCTCTTTTGTTTTCTGTTTGTTAGCAAAGCAAGAACTCCACCTCCTCCTGATTTTTGTAACAAGCTAATTAATGATTGTTCCAGCGGTTTCATTGGTACACCTTCAGCTACATGTTGTGCTTTGGCAAAGTCAAGTACAAGTCAAGCCATTTGCAAATGTGTTCCTTGCCAGTATAGATCTCTTGCTGGAAGCCTTGCTAACAAATGCTCTGGTGTTAATGTCACCTGTGCTGCTTGCTAAAAATCATAAGCAAGTTAATCACTTCGAATAAAAGGCATAAAACCACTGTGAGTATAGATCTCGTGTTGGAAGCCTTGCTAGCAAATGCTCTGGTGTTAATGTCACCTGTGCTGCTTGCTAAAAATCATAAGCAAGTTAATCACTTCGAATAAAAAGGCATAAAACCATTGTTTAACATATCTCTCATTCTTTGTAGTGCAGTTTATTTTAGAGATTCCAGAATTGCAAAACCGTGAGCTTCAGAAACCAGGTTCGCTTATACATGGTCTCGCCCCCCTTCAAGAAATATAACAAGGATTTAAGTATGCTGTACCGATATGAGAGATGTCTGGTCACCTCCCCTTCAAGGGCGGGCTGTGTTTAGGTGGTTTTGAGCATGGGGAAAAAATTGACAATCAAGGCGACCTCACTGGGGATTGAACCCAGAATCTCTGGTTCCGTAGACCAGCGCCTTATCTGTTCGGCCATGAGATCAACAGACAAAGTTCACAAACTTAACAACGTAAGAATTTCAAAGAATATCCTAGAGCACCGGAATAAACGAAGAAAAGTTGGAAAAGAAGTTCTCCAAAAAACCGGCGAGGCTGAGGAGAGTTACTCAATCTAGTAAGATCAAGGGCAGCATTGATTTATTTCTTTCTTAAAGTTAGACCCCACGAAGGCAGCAGCAAGTCAAATTACTTCAACCGTTATTTCACGATGTGACGAGTTTCCTCTAGTCTTTGTTTTGTAGCTCTCGATGAAGCAAGAAATCAACGTCACAGGAAAGGGAGAGCCAAGCCAAACCTCAGAGCTCGCTGGTCCTGCTCGAAGTGGGAAAGCTTTCAAAACCTGGACGAACAAACAAAGGAGACATGGACGAACTGACAATGGCGATGGATTCTTTCTGCTGTTTGGAACCGCCCCTTTGACAATTTTCAAGAACACTGACCGGATCTGAGCAAGAAACAAAAGAAAGAACATTTTTTACTCCCAAGCTGACTAAAAAGCAGGGACGAGTCCGGTGGTGGCGTGCAAAACTCAAGCTGGATTTCGCAAGTTTGTATGGAAACTTCAAGCCTGGAGAAAAAAGGCTAAAGTTCTGTAAAAATATAGATACCATAAAGCTCCCTCCACTCCAGTCCAGTGGCCAAATGACAATTTTTCACCTTGTGCTTTAAAATAAGAAAAAGAATCACGAAGCTTAGAAATCAGAAACTATTACCAGTTGAAAACCGAGACCAGGGTTGCAAGATTCGCTATCGGTCCTTTGCGCTTACAATCCTTTTGACAATTGGTTGTCGAAAAGAAACGGTTTTTCCCCAACATCTGTCCGGTAAACAGCAATAGACAAACCAAGTTAGAAACGAATAGCAGCACGGTTTCTAAAAGAAAAAAGCAACGGAAAAAAATGAACCAAAAACAAGAACTTGTGTGTCAGCGACAAGAAGGATGTCTGTGTGAAGAAAAGATTCGTCAGCTGCAATTATGTCACCGTGAATTGGTTAGACAATTCCAGAAGCCTTTAAGCTTACCTTCCAATGTCACTCTCCACATTTGAGTGGTGGTATAACTTTGATCTTTCAGAACTAAAAGCTGAAACCTGGTCTTCCTTTCCTCCACACCACAAGAAGAAAGAACCGAGTTGCCAGGGCCAGCAGATCTCCTCTCTCCTCTTTTCTCGCAAATGTTTCCAGCAAGATCATTTATAGTGTGCCAGTTCCAGTTTTTTCAAGGATGAGGCTGTAGTTTGCTTGTGACAAGCGGTGATCAAGTTTAGAAAACATAGAGATGAATGCCAGAAGACGAGAATTGTTAACATGTTTTGGTTTGCGTTTTGGTTTGCGATTGAAGTCTCGGAGACGTTTTTCTGGTCCGGGAGTAAGCCATCGGTATCCACCAGGACTACTTTGGGCACGCGTTTGGAGTTTTCAAAGCTGTATCGCGCTGAAACATGAGCCTTTGGAGCATGGAGCACTGAAAAGTTGTAACAGCTTTAGCAAAGCTATGAGGAAACGAGGAAAGAAAACTAAAGAAGTACTCACAAGCAATTATCAGCCAGGCATGGCAGTGATTCTAGTGCTTAACAGCGCAAAATAAAAAAGAAGAAACAAAACACTGCAAAGTTGACTGCTTGAATTCTAAAAGCAGAGAGCATCACACTCAGGCAGGGATCAAGACAAAATCACTAAAAAGCTGACAACTTTAGAAAGGGGAAGTTAAAAAACCATCCAAGAATCATACAGAGATTTGAGTTTCGGCAATTGATATACTCAATGCCAAAAGGAAGTGAAGAAGAAATATGCCAAACCAAGGACAACTGTAAGAAAAGGAAAAAAACAGAAAACAAAACTTCTTTGACAAAAAGTAGCAGACATTCGGCCAGAAATTCACAAAGATCTCTCACTCTGCAAAGATGCACGGCAATAGTAGAAAAAAATGGAAAATGTGTTGGGCATCAGAGCAGCACGAGAATCTTTCGTGACAAAGCTCTAGATTCACGAAGAAAATCTTGCAACTTGATCTATCTATCTAATCTATGCTGCAAACCCAAACCTCCGCTCGAGGGCCATGCCCTTAGGTCTTCCTTCCATTCACTCACGACGAAATGATAAAATTTCGGTGGGAAATTTATCAAGAAAAACGATAAGCAACAAGTTGACGAGTCTTTTCCTTGAATGAGGTGTCAATGCGGTCACCGGTCTGAGTTCATCAATATTACACAAGCCGTGATCGTCAACGCTAGATCATCATCCAGATCAAACTTTGTTTCTCTCTTCTCCATTTTAAATACTTGTCACTGGATCCCAGTGCATTAATCTTTGGATTGACTTCCGAATTGTAAGATCAATGTCTGAGAGTGATCGTCAGTGTAGTAGCGTTTTTAGTGGTGGCGTCTTTGGGGACCGACTCACTGACTCCTCGCATTTAGATCGCGAAAACGACCTTGGTGATTTGGTTCATGCGTTTCGGGTCGCGTCCTACATAGCACTTCGATTTCATACTCGCTTTTCTCTCTGGCACTGGATTTATCTTCGCTCACGCTTCGTCCATCGGTGATCTACAAGGATCCAATCAATCGCCCACTTCAACGTCATGCCAGTTTATAAAGGCTATGATCTATGGATCCCTCGCCTTCACAGGGACTGAGGGTGGCATCTTACCAAACCCAAGGCGAAAAGCCGCGGGAGATTCGCGGAATCTTTTGGGCAGTAAGTGTTGATCATAGCCTTTCAAGGGCGGCATAAGGTGACAACGGTGGCGAAGAGGATAGCCCGTGTAAGTCGATAAGCTTTCGTTCGTTCGAGGAAGGTAGGTCGAAGAAAAAACGCATGAAACTCTTTAAAGGCTATATTTCTCTTTTTTTGCTATCGTTTCTCTCACTCCTTTTTTTTTTTTCCAGCTTTTTGCCCATTTTCCTCGAATGTCGCTTGCACCGACAATCTAGTCCGTGGGGTAAAGTTGGCGGAGCTCCTCCAGGTTTGGATGTATCCAAATCAATACCGCTCCTCAAGTACGCGGGCGGATCAGTCAGGAGCACAGCAACACCATACGGTACAAACGTACGGTCGATCACTCAACGTCACGGTACCTCGGTGCGTGCATTTCGGGGGCGTGAATCGTGATTGATAAGCCCGGGGAATTATTAGGGTTGAGTGGGACGCCCGGATTGCCAGTGGAGGCCATGCGTTGGCCGGGTCACGGTTTCAACCACGAGAATTAAAAGCTGATGAAACCAAGAAATTGGACGAGCGAGCGACGACCATGCATGCAGTTTATAAGGGGGTTGGGATTAAATGTGGCACATTGATTCACACCACTCACAGGAGGTTGCTTAAATGGCAAGGTACCTAAGTTGGTAACTGGAGGATGTCCCATGGATTCCTAGGGTTTTGTGAAGTGAATAGGGATGCAGACGTCTATCCCTAGAGTTTGAAGTAAATGCCTTTCAGTGTCCAATAACGTTGAAAAGGAAATGTTTTATTCATGGGAACCATAAAGAAGTCATTAGTTACCCTTGCATTGTTCTACGCGTGGAATATTCTCCGGCTTGTTTTGTTACGCTTGGGAGTTTTTGCGCTAAGAAACAAAGAGATAACTTCTCTGCATGCTTTGACGACGAAGATTCCAGAGGGGGGAAAAGTGGGTTGAAGAAGTATAGGTTGGAAGCATGCGCATGAAAGTTAGTAATCGAGAAAAGCATATTTCATGTGAAAATTGCTGTCCAGGAAAGGAGGGATCTTGTGTGTTTTGTCCATGGATCCTTTGGAAGCTCCAAAAGGCCCCACTGTCCACTACATCATCTCCCTAAACTTATATAGGCAGTCACCCAAGCGACTGCTCTCCAAAAAAAGAAGAAAAGTGAAAGACATCCATCCATAGAAAGCAACGTTGCATGATTCCGCAACTCGCATCACGATTGCAGCACTCGCCGGATAATGAAAGTGGATTATGTCTGCTTTGAGTTGTTTAGTACTAAACCGCGCTTCCGGGAACGTTCTAAATGTGGATGGAGATCGTCCTCTTTGGGTCGATTCCAAGAAGTGGATAGACACTAGAAAACATTCTCTATAGCTGGGACGTGTCCAGCCCTAATTTCGCGCGTGAATTTTTGACACCCATCGCGCCCATTACGTGAACAAATGTGCCACCATTTGTCTAATGTACGAGGGGCGAAGGCCTGCCCCTCATGTTTGACCACCAACCTCCGTCCCGAGATTCTTTAGGGTTATAAAACTTTCTCGAAATTTTAAGATGCCACCACCCTTCGCTTGATCGAAGCACGTGTTGGTTTTGTCCTCATGTCATTTGTACCCTTTGGACATGCTCGATCGCTTCCATCGTCGGTTTGTTTTTCACACAGTACCCACATGAAAACCAAAAAGGTGACGCAGAAAAAATACATATGGCCAGTGGTCTTGTTTTGCAGAATTACTGGATCATGTGGACGAGCGGCAGAAGTGGACTCATACTGGCATCAACCAAATCAATCTTAAGGAAACTAAGAGATCATAAACCGAATTGAAAATGGATAATCCCCTGCCACCTTCCAGATCTTTGATTATCCTTGGCAGCCAGGGCGAAAAGCGGCATTGTTTCCTCCAGATTTTCAGGCCAGAAGAGGTTGGGGGCATGTTGTGTGAATCAGAATGGATGCCAAGCAAAACAAATGTCTGGGCCCTCAGAGCCAAAGAGGGAAAGCAAAAAAAATCTCCCAGGGCCCTGGATTTGACCTAATGCTATCGAATATTCTATTCCCATGACCGAATATTCTAATCTCGTTAGTTAATCCGCGGGGTAGCCGTTTATCGGCCGCCACGTGGCTGTCCTGTCCACACCACGTTGACGGCCGGCGGGCCCAATGGGGCTCCCAAGAAGCGGCAGCGTGCCAGGTGTCAGCTTTGACAAACCAGTACTACCGGTATAACGACAATAAACAAATAGCGCCTGTACTAAAAGACTGTACATTATACTTGCATTTCTGGGGCGTGGCCATGTATTTACTCGTGTTGTGACATGCTAATAAAAGGAGATGGTGTTAGCGTTACTCTAGGTAGGGCTAATATTCCGTAGAGGTGAGTAAATACGCGAGGGGAGGGAGGGCCCAGGGGTAAAATACATTTATTTTGAATCAAAGCGGCTCCCTGGAACGTCTATATATACTTGCAAAGGGGAACACGAGGGGTGTTAAGGACACTTTTTGCCCCAACCCTAAGGCCGTTCACACTGCCTGCGTTAAAGTGTGTCCTTGGCTCAACGCCACATTTTTTTTCTTCTGGTTGGTGTTCCAACGATCGAACTGCGGTGCTTGCTTTGCTCGCATCGTGTTTTTTCCTTTTTTTTCCTTGCTTAGAGCCAAGGCGCTAGGGTTCTTGCGGCGCGCCCGGGGGCTGGGCTGGATCGAGCAGCGGTGGGGGCGGAATCGCGGGCGGGGGAAGCCATGGTGGTGATCTGCGGCGGTGTGTGGGCGCCATTGCGCAGGGCGACGGAGAGCGCGCGCGAAGAATCGCCCGCATCGGCGCGGGCGTGAAGAAATCAGATTGGGGCGTGGCGCCGGATCTCTCACTCGTTGCCGCGCATCTGGATCGGCGATTATCGCACTATTATATTGCTAGTGCCAGGTTGTGCTTGGCGAAAGGAGGATGCGCCTGGGCATTGGCATTGGGATTTTCTAATCCTCCTCCAGCGGCTTATAGGTCATGGCGGCTGAATCGCTTCCTCGGCTCCTAGACTAGCAACGATGAAGGGTAAAATCCATCTCTCTCTCTCTCTCTCTTCCTCATCTCTATGTTCTCACTCTCATCCTTGTTTTTGTGGTTTTCCAGTCGCAAACTCTCACCAACACGTCAGCTCCTACGAGGATGGCTTGTATCGATCGCACTCCATCACCGATGTCCTCAACTTTTTCAAGTGGCGATCGCGGACGAGGGCGGTGGCTCCCGAGAAGCTGTCATCGGGGAGCCTAGTTGCGGATGATGAGGGATCGCCGGATGGAGAGCCCAAGAAGGCAGCAGACGAGCATCCATCAATGTCAGAGAGCGATGGAGGGGAGTTTGATCATCCGAGCCTCCGATTCGCCACCACGAATGGCGAGCGAACACTTTCCAATGGCGACTTTTATGCTGGCTCCTGGCAAGGGAATCTCCCCGAAGGGACAGGCAAGTACTTATGGTCGGATGGCTGCATGTACGAGGGGGAGTGGGGGAATGGGATCAAGACTGGGCGGGGAAGGATCTCCTGGCCATCGGGTGCTACTTACGAAGGCGAGCTCCTGTGTGGAAATCTCCATGGCCGTGGGGTTTACACCGGAGTGGACGACACCACTTACAAAGGCTCCTGGAGGATGAACTTGAAGCACGGCGAAGGTGTCAAGAGCTATGCCAACGGAGATGTCTACGAGGGGTTCTGGAAGGCTGGCTTGCAGCACGGCGATGGGAGATACATTTGGCAGAATGGAAACCAGTATGTGGGGGAGTGGAGGAAGGGAGTGATGAACGGGAAAGGAGTTTTGAGATGGAGCAACGGTGACACGTACAACGGGCAGTGGCTGGATGGGCTCGAGCACGGCCATGGTGTTTACACTTGGACAGACGGTGCGTGCTATATGGGAACTTGGAGGAAAGGTGTCAAGGACGGGACGGGGATCTTCTACCCGACTGGATACTTTCCGCCGAGATCACGGCGGTCTTTTGAGGCGCCAGCTGCGAGCGAGCTTTCGGGCTCGGACTGTCCGGCGTCTCCGATGGAGAGGCGATGGAGTCTCGAGGGTGGTTTGGATTTGACACACTCGAAAGAGTCGTCGCAAAAGAAGTCAGCTATCGACACGCCTGTGCTTGAAAGGGAGTACGTGCAAGGGGTGCTGATCAATGAGATAGTCAAGCAAGGAGATGCCGCGTCA